TGGGGTGAGGTGGAGCTTACTTATATCTACTTGCTCAGTTAACTATGTATAACTCCATCACATTTCATCAAATTTGTATCCCTTGATAAGTTCTGTGCTATTACTTCATAAATCTTTAATGAACTATTTACTATCAAATAACACAGAAATACATTTCACAATCTGTAGTGTAGGTTGACACCATACTGTAGGTTAATAATGTAGTGTACATCAACAATCTGTATTGTAGGTTAATAATATGTAGTGTGGGTTGACAATCCATAGTTGTAGGTTAATGATCTGTAGTGTAGGTTAACAATTTCTAGTGTAGGTTAACAATCTCTAGTGTAGGTTAACAATCTCTAGTGTGGGTTAATAATCTGTAACGCAGGTTGACAATTGGTAGTGTAGGTAGAATTTCCAGGTGACATAAAAAGTGTGCTTGACAGGAAATAATTTGTAAGTTTGTCATTTAATTCCTAAACGTAATAGTTTTTCTTTGAAATAGGCTGCTTATACTAAATTTTAAACTTAATTAGACTCCAAATGTTTTTGTGAATTGCTCCTGTTTCAGCTCGAAGGTACCTTTGTCTCAGATTTTACGGTGAGACTTTCTTCAGAAAAACTAATATGAGCTGAAAGTTTTACAAGGTTATGTCTGTAAATAAAATCCTGGTTAAAATAGTCTTAACAGAAAATATTTAGGTTACAACTGCCAAACTAAACAAATACGATGGGATCAAATTACTTAAAATCATGATTCTTGTGTAAGTCACATGGACATGATAACATGAACTGATTCTGGTGTAAGTCACATGGACATGATAACATGAACTGATTCTTGTGTAAGTCACATGAACATGATAACATGAACTGATTCTGGTGTAAGTCACATGATAATATGAACTGATTCTGGTGTAAGTCACATGGACATGATAACATGAACTGATTCTAGTATAAGTCACATAAACATGATAACATGAACTGATTCTGGTGTAGGTCACATGAACATGTTAACCACACTTCTTCAAAACAAATGTTTAATTTATTTATGAATGAAAACACTTTAAGGGATAGTTTTTCTATACAACGTAAGCTACTCTTTTTAACAATCATCCACTTCAACTTCAACAATGAAGGCTTCAACACGAACTGCTTCCTTACATAACATTTCTCCAGCACGAGTGAAAACTGTGTGGAAAAAGTGCCCCGAGTCCCCTCCAATTGGTTATTACTTTTTTTGAAAATAATAATCTGTCAATATTAAACAATAATTGTTTCTATTATCTCAGAGACTTCTGATGCTTCCGATGAAGTTTTCTCTCTTTCGTAGCTTTGTATTCCTTATACACAGAACTTGAACGCATTTCTAAAATGTATTGAAGCTTTTTTACTATCTCCTGGGCCTTGCGAGCTTCAGTCTCAAACACTTGACTCTTGTAGTCTTGATCCACTTGGTAGACTAACTTAAAAACTCCTAATCCCACACCTGTGTAAAACACAAAAACAATCAAATAAATACCTGTGAGGGTTCGTTTTTCTTCATAGAGTAATTCACATGTTCGAGATATAAATAAAATTACCTTGTAACTTCACTAAATATTAACCTAAAATATATTTACTTTTAAACAGGTAGATGAGTAGTTGTATTATTAAAATAGATAACTGAAAAACTAATGATCGTATTAAATCATTGTACATTTACTAGGTTACACTGACCAATAACACAAACTTGAGTGGGACTAAGATGATCTGTTGTAATTTTGTACATTTACTAGGTTACACTGACCAATAACACAAACCTGAGTGGGACTAAGATGATCTGTTGTAATTTTGTACATTTACTAGATTACACTGACCAATAACACAAACCAAGATGGGACTAAGATGATCTGGTAATTTTGTACATTTACTAGGTTACACTGACCAATAACACAAACCTGAGTGGGACTAAGATGATCTGTTGTAATTTTGTATATTTACTAGGTTACACTGACCAATAACACAAACCTGAGTGGGACTAAGATGATCTGTTGTAATTTTGTACATTTACTAGGTTACACTGACCAATAGCACAGACCTGAGTGGGACTAAGATGATCTGTTGTAATTTTGTACATTTACTAGGTTACACTGACCAATAACACAAACCTGAGTGGGACTAAAACGATTTAGTATTTTTCCGAAGTTACTTGGACCAACTATTAAGAAGCTATGTTACAGTCTAAGAGCTGATTATAGCTTTTAACCGAATATTAAACAGTAAACATACCCCAATACAAATATGTTTATACAATTTTTTAGGGTTAACATTCGAACTGACCATCTCTCTCGTGTTTAATGTATATTACACTAATATAAGCACTTACTACACTTCCTGTTCAACATCTCACATGCTGCAATATGCTCCACATCCAGAGTCACAGCTTTTTGCTGCCAGGTCCAAAACTTTGCTGTCCCTTTATGAGGGACGGGGTTGAGCTCTACTTTCTCACCAGATATACCTAAAGAAAAGGAAGAAAAATTATGGGGGAACACACTTTGAAAGAGAATCATCTGAACTCATTTGGACAAAGTACAACTAATTTAACAGGATTACAAATATTTCATTTTATGAAAGACAAGTTGGATCACAGTTAAAGACCAAGTAAAACCTAAGGTATTTGAAATATCTGTTTAATATTTCAACAGGTACTCATGTTTAGTACCTACACATTTGGACAAAGAATGCAGCTAAAATGTATCGTTTATATTTACTAAAACTCTATTATTTAACTCTTTGTTTTTGGTTGTTGTACTTCAAGACATTTTAGTTAAGATGTGTTGAAAACAAAATCTTGTTCAGTTATATCAATCTTGTACAACCTGATGATGAGGACCTAGTATGTTTGACAGAATTTAAAATTCAAGTATTGTATGTGACATGCTGTTAGATGTTACAAGCTCGAAGGAAATAGTTGTTTTTACCAAAGAAGACAAAAAATAAGGTTGATTTTTTTCACCAAGCTAGAACTGAATGAATTAAATATTCTTTATTTGTTGTGTATTTTTTCAAGATCTTCTTACATAAATCTTTTACTATTCTTGACATTCACTTTTACCAAGAAGATACATTTCCAAATGCATCACAATCCAAACTTTTCACTACTGAAGAGTACGTTATTTACATGCATCACTAGGCCTAACATTCTATAATTTTATCTAATAAAAAGTACATGTCATGACATGCATCACCATGATGCATGTAATAACATGTACTTTTTATTAGATAAAAGTATAGGATGTTAGGCCTGGTGATGCATGACATAACATGTTTTTCAATGGAAGAAAGTACAGAATGTTAGGCCTGGTGATGCATGTCATAACATGTACTTTTGAATGGAAGAAAGTATAGAATGTTAGGCCTAGTGATGCATGACATAACATGTACTTTACAATGGAAGAAAGTATAGAATGTTAGGCCATCTACAAAAAGTAGAGAATAAGAAGCATGGTACATAACGTGTTTTTCAATGGAAGAAAGTACAGAATATTAGGCCTAGTGATGCATGTAATAACATGTACTTTTCAATGGAAGAAAGTATAGAATGTTAGGCCTGGTGATGCATGTTATGACATAACGAAAACATGTATTAACTTGCTTTTGATGTTTTTATTTTTCTAGTTTTTCTAGAGATGTTACATACACATTAAAATAATTATCCTATTATGAGAATATGTTAGGTACGTGTCTTAACATGTCGGAAGTCCCAAAATTTTTTTTTTTTTTTTGCACCTGCTAGACATGCATAAACATATATATCTCATGTTAGGAATTAACTATCTATAGCAGAGCTTCTTGACAATATACTAAACTCCACTCTACACCTACTTACCAAGATGCACTTCCGAGTTCTTGCCAAGCTTGTGGATAGCAGACACGGAATAGGAATGAAAGAGGGGTGCTTCCACTGCAGTCATTTCTTCCTGCCCATTCCAAGTGTCCAACTCATCTTCTGTACTGGACTCTTAAAAAAAAATTATAAAACTTTTTACTAAAATATGTAAAAACAAGTTAAAACTTTTTAGTTAATTTTTGAGTTTTTCAGTTTATTTTATCAGGCATAATGCAGCCTCTTTACTCTGTTTAATACACTTTTCAGTAATCTAGTAAGCAAACATTTTTGGAATAAAACACTTTGGATCAAACTAAAAAAAAGAAAGATATTCTTATAGTCATATATTTTACTCATCAAAACATATGCAGGATCTCTCCAGTCATCACGTCAAATGGAACTTATATTTGTCTGATATACTCCATATGAGGTAACTGACACAGAAATGATTTCAAGTTAACATTAATAAATCATAGGCCATTTTAGTTTTAAAATCTTTCAAAGATAAGTTTAACTATGCTTCTTTCAATTTCATAACTTCAGGTCTTTACAGCAGCTAAAGAGTCAACAGAATTCACGTAACTTTTGATTTCCATAAAAAAAAAACTGAAACCTATACAAAACCTGATTCTACATATTAATATTAATCTTTACTGAATGTTTCTTTTTAAAAAAAAACGTTAGTCTAAGTCTAAAAGACTGAATGTTTTTAACTCTGTTCTTACATTTAACAAAAAACACTTACAGTCACTGCAACAACTATTAACTGAGTTACCTTGACAACCTGAAATCAGAACCACACTGGTGGAAACTAATAAGAAATTCTACGACCTCGTCAGTGAAATTAAAGACCACACTATACCTGTTATACCCAGTGTTCTCAAGGCCTTTCACCCAATACCAGGGCAGATGGGATATGACAGGCCTAGTAGTAGTTTAGGTGCTTTTTGTATCACATCATGAATAATAACTGTTAGGCATAGTCTTACTTCGTAATATCGTAGAAGAGTTAATGTAAAAATCTTATTTATGATAGTAAACATTTTTATGAAATTTTAAATCACAAAAGGTGTTGAAAAAACAACAACAATACTTTCATAATCTATATTTAACACTAATTTTAAAAATAATTGTTGGCTAATAAACAACATTGTTATTTTTAAAAATACACCATATTCATTATAATCTATGTTATATCAAAACCTGTAAAAAAAAAAAACAGATTTTTTCTTCATAATTATTTATTTTGTAGCCAAAAACTGCTATTAAGGATTTTTAGTTTAATCTTGTATTTTAAAACTGAAACTCCATCTACTGGTCACAAATAACAAAAGAACTCACCATCTTCCCAAATAACAGCTAGTTCTAAAGTACCGATATCAGCAAGTTGAGATTGGAGTGAAACTGTTACTCCAGGTTCATGATATTTTTCTACTCGATACTCCAATCCTTTAAGAGAGATTATGAAACATGTCTAAAAGATGAAACATGCTCTTTAAAATGTTTATTCTGTCTCTGCTCATTTTATAACTAAAAACAAAAACGTAAACATTCTTTAAGGCTCGCGTCATGTATGAATAATGCTCAAACAAACAAAGGGATATCCACATGTTCAAATATGTTTATTAAAACAAACTTTCAGGTCCAATACCATAAATGTCACTGGGCTACTGCAGAAGTATATTAATCAATTGCTTTTAGTGTTAGACTCTAATCCATCATTGATCAAAAAATCAGGTATATCTGTACGAAAGTGTTACACAAATTACAGACTAATTATGTATAAAAAAAATCCTATTAGCTAATATATGTACATATAGTACTTGTTTGTTTCCGATATTTTCACACAGCTACACATATCTGCACTAACCATCCTAACTTTAAACTGATAAACATAACCTAGAGAAACGGCAGTTAATTAACAGTTCCCGCCAACTGCTCACAAGTTTGATTAAGTACTGGAATCTGTCTCAATGTGCCAAAGCCGTGATTTTGAAGCAACAGGAATTGAACCATAACTTCTTGGGTTGAGTGTGGTATGCTACATACATATCTTTACTCTTTATTTCAAGCCCTATATTTAGGCCTTACCCGATATACCTTTCCTTTTCTTCAGAGCTTGCTCTATTACTTGTTGCACTGTGATGTTCAAAGTCGTTACCTGAATCTTAGAAAACTGGTCTTCAATGTGGCTGAAAGTTAAAAAAGAATCATCACTCCAACAAGTTCGGCTTACACAGAATTCAAATATGACAGACTCCCAAAATCATTGTGAAAATTTAAACTATAATTTTACAATATTTAGTATGTGATAATTACATTTATTTCAAATTACCTGTATTTTAAGGTCTTTCAAAACCCGTATTTTGGCGTATGCATTAGTGTTTAATATCTTTGCAGTTGAAAACGAATTATGTTAAAATGTTTGACAATTTTCTTCTCATGCGATTAGGTTGGTGTAATTTCAATAAATCCTTTAACGGGAGAATATAGTATTTATCTAAAATCACTGAGGTTTAAAGAAGTAATAATATATGATGAAAACTAATTCAAATATTTGACTGAACACTTAACAAATGTTCTAACAAATGAATTCTGATAAAAAAAGTTACTATGAATAATAACAGATAAACTGATGTGCAAAATGTAAGTTCTGTTCTTTCTCACAACCAGTGTAATCTCAGGTGTAATAAAGTAAAGGATAGAAATGTCAAAAACAGCATTCTTCAATCTTAAAGTTTCTCAGGAGTGATGTAAAAAGTATAAGTGAAGAAGACACTATTAAAATGTTATATACACGGCAATATGGACCCTATCTTATTGTGCACGGCAACATGGACCCTATCTTATTGTACACGGCAATATGGACCCTATCTTACTGAAATGTAAAATCTTTCTTACTAAAATGTAAACCCTCTCTTACCGAAATGTAAACCCTATCTTACTGAAGTGTAAACCCTATCTTACTGAAATGTAAACCCTATCTTATTGAAATGTAAACCCTATCTTACTAAAATATAAACCCTATCTTATTGAAATGTAAACCCTATCTTACTGAAATGTAAACCCTCTCTTACTAAAATGTAAACCCTATCTTACTGAAATGTAAACCGTATCTTACTGAAATGTAAACCCTATCTTACTGAAATGTAAACCCTATCCTACTGAAATGTAAACCCTATCCTACTGAAATGTAAACCATCTCTTACTAAAATGTAAACCCTATCTTACTAAAATGTAAACCATCTCTTACTGAAATGTAAACCCTATCTTACTGAAATGTAAACCCTATCTTACTAACATGTAAACCCTATCTTACTGAAATGTAAACCCTCTCTTACTGAAATGTAAACCCTCT